AAATGGAATTATATCGTGGACATTTTCTCGCCATTATTTTTAACAACTTTTGACGATATCATCGTTAAACTTAAGTAAATAATTGACAACGAAGCCCCATAGAAACCAGTGTTTGTCAATGGTGCGGTGAAATTAATCGAGGTCGTAGATCACTCCAAGACGAATTTCTTGAAGGTCGCCCAAATTAGTTGATGTTCCGGAAACTATTAATGCAGCGCACAAACTGATATTGCAAGATCGTCATGTGACCTATCGTATGATAGGTATTAGTTGGACCTGCATTGTTCACATTGAATTCCATACAATTTGTCAATCGATCAAAAAAGCCTCGCGTCGATTGGTCGGGAGAAATGCTGACAAAAACACGACAACGGCGTTTAGCCATGATAATGTGACAGATGGAGAATGGTGAGTTTATACGTATAACTTCGAAAGCAAACAGCAGTCGAATGGACGGGTGTTTTAAAATTAGCCGAATTCAATAAAACTTATTCACGCAGGAAGAAACACTTCTAAACAAATGATCTGTTTTTGTTGAAAAACTGGTCGCAACCATATAACTAGAAAACACGCTAATCAGTAAATTCTGAATTGTGTACAACTACTTTTTTTGCCAATTGTCTTTCAATAAAGTACGAAAACCAGCCACCGTAGAGGGATCACTCTTCAACGTGAGTTGTTACACATCCCGTATCCAACTACATTCTTGAGCACTTAAGACATCGATTTGATGAGTAATGCACAGTAAAGCCGAAACTTGGTATCGAATGAATTTCTTTATTTTCCGAAATATAAAAATTTTAATATTTCGGGGAATTTCCTGTATATATCTTAAATTATCTGTTTTCCGTGGTTATATTATAATAGAACAAGTAAGGAAAAGATAAGTTCGGGTGTAACCGCCTTCAGGTTCCCGTAAAACTTTATATTAAATGTTGCGAATGAACTTAGCATCCATTGTTCGATTATTCGTCGAGGAACTACAATCAAAATTGACTTATATTGATGGCCACAAGCTTAGATTTAGTTTTTTACTACATTTCAAATCTGATTTAATTAAAAACATCTTCAAATGCGATATGTGGTATTAACTCGGCTGAAGAGGCTAAATTTAATATATTGAGGTAATGTGAAAAATATTAACCATAGGATCGGAATTCGTTATATGTGAGCTGGTCTACGAAAACGGGGCTTAGGTGTCAAAAAATCTTAGTTGATTCGGATGGAGATGAGATGCTTTTTCACGTAATAGAATCCAAAAGGTCATAAACTAGTTTTCGCACGTTAGCTCCCTTTTCGTAGACCAGATCACATATAGAGACTGACCGACAGGGGTCAAGTTTTCGCCTAATTTTATACATTTTAGACACAAAAATTAACTGTTATCAGTAAAACACGTTTTCTCATTTTCATTGCGATAACTCACATAGTGGGGGAAATATAGGTTATAAAATCATCCGGAAGTCTGAAAATCTTCGTTTTAGGTATATGGGGCTCATTTCTGAGGTTCAAGCCACACACAATTCAATATTTTCGGTAAACCATAGGAACTGGGACTGTGGTTCACATATTTGATACCAATTTTTGATTGTAATGTGACATTATATTATTATCACATTATATTGATTTTTGACTTTTATACTGGAAAATGAAAAAATCAAATGAAATTTAAAATAGTGTTATATGGGAAGTAGGCGCGGTTATAGGCGATCTAGGACATTTTAGACCCGTAACATAGGAATGTCAGAAAAAGGTTATGTATCGAATTTGAGTGAAATTAACCCGGAGTGTCCCGAGAATGTCAGGAGAAGTCAGGAGTAAAATTGGAGTGGACGGGGTTATCAAGCGGGGTCTTTAATTTTTACGGTGTCGATACTAAGTGAATTTGGTTATTTTAGCTTGAATGGTTTGGGAGATATATTCATTAAAGTGGGTGGTTCAATAATATTTCCTGCGGTTTTTTTGATCATGAAACTTTTTTCCAGCATCTCGCATTTTTTATTGAGATTTGATTTTTCTCTCCATTTTGCCTAAAATTATAATTTACTGCAATGAGCAAAAAATAGTAAGACTTTACATAATTTTAAAATTCTTAATCTATTTTTCAAAATTTATGTATGTCGCATCCTCAAAGTATTCCCCTTGACCCCTATACACCCACATTTTTTCCAATCCTCGAAACATTTGTCAAAGTCGCCTTTTCCTCAATTGAATCAAACGGTTTCCCCGTAGCGATCGCGCAAGTTACATTCCCATACTCTAAACACGTGGTAATTATAAATATAGTAAATCCTTAATATCGTACTAGCATAATAATATCGTAATAACATATAGGTTCCAAATTCAGCTAAGTTGAGTTGAGAGTGAGCGTATTCCTGTTATGTCAACGTCAACTCAACTATAAGCAAACATACAAAGAATGTCAATACAGTTAATCTTAATATTAGAATTA